ATACAGAACAGTACAACGAATCGTCTTTTTTCTATAATAATTTAGTGAAACGGGAAAGCTTCCGCGCTTCACGCGGGAGGGGGCAACTGAATTCAGACTAGGATTAAGAGTTATAATCAAATGAAACGTCAAAGTACACGATACAACGAATCATCTTCTTTTGCTAATAATTTAATGAAACGTGAAAGCTTCCGCGCGGGATAGGCGAAAGTGATTTCAGACATGGATTAAGAGTTATAATCAAATGAAACGTCAAAACTTCCGTGCGTCGCGCGGGAGGGGAAAAACTGAATTCAGACAAGGACACGATACGACGAATCGTCTTCCTTCTCTAATAATTTAATGAAACTATAAAGCTTCCGCGCTTAGCGCTGGATGGGCGAAAATGAATACAGACAAGAATTAAGACTAATAATATATTAAAACGTCAAAGCTTCCGCGCGGGAGGGCGGGAGCGAATTGCACTCAGACAAGGACACGATACAACGAATCGTCTTCTTTCTCTAATAATTTAATGAAACGTCAAAGCTTCCGCGCTTCGCACGGGAGGCTGAAAACTGAATTCACACAAGGATTAAAAGTCGAGAATGGTACATGTATTCGTCTTCTTTCTTCAATGATCTAATAAAACGTCGGAGCTTCCGCGCTATGCGCGGAGGAAGGTGAACTTGATTCAAACATTAAGAATTAAGGATGGTACATATCGAATCGCCTTCTTTCTTTAATAATCTAATGAACCGTCAGAGCTTCCGCGCTACGCGCGGAGGAAGGGGTAGGCCTACTTGATTCAAACAAGGATTAAGAGTCGAGAACGGTCCAACGTATCGTCTTCTTTCTCTAATAAGTAAATGAAACGTCAAAGCTTGCGCGCTTCGCGGGGGAGGGCCCTCCCTGCACCCAACCCAAAGACGACCCAACACCATAGGGAGCGCGCTTCGCGCGCTCTGTAACTCTCCTGGCCTCGCCCTTGGGGAGGGGTGCAACCCGGCCACACGCTTCTACCTCTTGATTGCTTTGAACCATTGCCGAAAATATTTTGGCACCTATCACCCCCCCCCCCCCCAACCATGGTTACCTCTCCGTTCACTTCACGGAGTGGGAGGGGGGGGGGGGGGAAGAGACAGAATCTATCTGAGACTGACAGCAAAATTGCTTCTCAATCCTTCGACTCCTTCCATTTCATTTTTAAACGTATTAATTTGCACGGAATCTACTTTTCGATTCGCGCGCGTTATCCTTTAGCGGTACGTTTCTTTGATTGGTCAATTGATAGAAATCACGTGGTTTGAACCAATCACATGCGAGATTTTCGGGGCCGGTACGCCAAAAGCAGAGCTTTCGTTGTCGTTTATATTAGGTTTATAGGCGTTCATCCTTCAGGGGTAAATATTTCACCTATTCTGTTGATTTGTTTTCCTTTCAAATCAGATTTACTTTTTTGAATATATAGATTTGGCTAAATTGGATTCTTTTTTTATTTATTTATATTTATTTATTCGTTTTATTTAAACAGGGTAACTCTCTTAGTATTAATACTCTTTTTCTAAAAAAAATGATTACAAATACATGAAATAAATAAGAGTGTTAAAAGACGTATACATGATTTTATATATATATTCTTTTTCTTTTTCTTTAAAGGTACTATGTCCCATTTGCAGGCCCAAAAAATGTAAAGGTTAAATTCCAACGGCATTTGAAAAATGATACTAATTTAGAACTTCCCTAAAAAGATAGGGCTTGAAAATGTCTTCAAGTGGGAAAATAACGACTATTAGATGTCAAATCGACTTAGGAGCTATAGAGCCAATAAGTAATAGTCTTGATTTTCATACCATTGTACCGAACGGTCATACGTTTTATGCTGCGCAAAGATTCAATCAGTTTAATTTTTGTCATCACAAGAAGTGTGTTATCGATGTAGACAAATGCTAGTGTACCCTTTACAGCTCATTTTATGTATTTTATTACCAAAGAAGAAAAAAGCCAGTCAGTCACTCAATAGTGTCTGACAGTGAAGTCTAGCAAGTAAACGGGTTTCCTTGCATAATTTGAATATGAGGACATTGCTAACGTTTAGATTTCACAGATAGGACATACATGATATATTCATAATTCCTGCAAAGTTCTACAGAATTTGAGGTTGGCTGCAAAAGGGACATAGTACCTTTAACGTTGAAGAGGTCAGTATCCTTACTGGAAAGGCTGTTGGTAATTTTTTGCGTGAAAAGAACCCACTAGAAGAATTGAGGAAGAAGTATAAAGAATAGCAAGGAAGAGATAATAATGGAATTGAGTTTTAAACAGTTTTATGTGTTGTGTACCAAAAAAATACAAAATAAATAAATAAAGGCTATAAGTGATGATCGAGATTGAGAAGGCTGTGAAAAGATAAAAGTTGAAGAGTGAAAACTAAGAATGTTGTTCTAAAACAAAACTGTTAGTACGAATTCCTCAGTGGAGTGGTTATAAACAAGATTTTGATTCAATGATTCAAATTATTTTATTTCTCATGCAAAAATATAATACAATGATTAAGTATATTACCCCAAAATATACAATGAAGTGACAAATATAATAGAAATAGCACGAGAAAAGAGAAACTTACTATAGGAGCAGAGCTTGTTCATCGTCCGTCAATTCTCCTAAACGCCCAAAGAGCGGGCTCTTTTGACACAAAGATTTATCAACGTCCTTTTGAGTAAGGGCAGGCTACCATACTAATGGTGTGACCAATAGCCCTAACAGTAGGGACTTTTAGATTTGTATGGACTGATACGTGTGACGTCCATGATTCAAGGCAGTGCATCAAAAGGACGTTAAAATCCACGTTGTCGTTGTGCAAATCTAAAAGTCCCTAATACTTGAGAACCCGGGCGCGTCTTATTTTTCGGGCAGTGCTTCACCATGGACCTACTATCCATGGATTCACGAAACATTCTATAAGTAGGCAGATTCACCAAACATCAATTCATGCTGTACGCCAACTTTTTCGACGACGGTCTGGTGAAACGATGCCCATAATTATCTTCAAGGGGATTGGGAGAGGGGGGGGGGGCGTCATGCAGTTAAAGTTGAAAAAGTTCAGTACGGGGTTTGTATCCCCGTCACGGCAGTGACGTTTCTTGGCAAGACATTAATTTACATTTGCTACTCTCGGCCCATGACGAGGAGGCGCAATGGCTCAGTAGTAGTGTAGTGGTTTCGTAACCGGGAAGTCCCGGGTTCGAAACCAAGTTGAAGTGCAGCTGATGTCTCCCGGAAAACCCAATTTAGTATGTCTAGAGCTTACATTGCGATGACCGTTTCATTATCATTATTAAAAGACGGGAGTTGCTGGTTGCTGCTACCTTGATTGGCGTTCAACAAAAGATAGAGCAACGTCGATCTGGCGCTGATCAGTGGCTGCCGGGCTCACAATCAATTGGGCAAAAAAGAATTTACATTTTCGGTTTAACTTAAAGGTAAAGACCAGTTATGGTCATGCGATTGCATTGTGAAAGAAACGTTGTGGAATCGATCAGAAAAGGTTGATCATCTAGCATCTGCAAGGTTCTGGAATCATCAAAATGATAAGAAATTTGGCCATTCTTCGTAAAGTTACAAGTACTATACACAGAAAGATGTATATGGGACTACCCTATATCTCTCACAGACCATGAGAGAAACAAATCTACCAAATATATGAATTAGTAGGCGGTTTCCCGGCAAATTTTTTATCATCATGTATTAGTCAAAACATATTCTTTCACATGATTGGTAATGAGAGCTTCCATTTCATTTTTTGAAATTGGGGCGTTTCCAATACTGGTCTTTACCTTTAATAAAATTTGGAGTGGATTGTTATTATTATTATTATTATTATATATATATATTGCTTTTCAGATGATTTCGGAATGAAAATGCGCCAAGAAAATATTTAATTACCGTGACCGTATCTTTCTCTTTCTCTCAATCTGCTTTTCAGGGATATTTTAAAGTTGAAATTAAGTTTGAAAACAAGTTTTATGAAACAGGGCCTAACACTGATTAGTGGCAGAACATGTTGGAGGGGGGCCTTGCAAGCTGCATCTCTTAAAGTAGAATATTCCTTCTAAAACTTACAATTTAAAAAGATAATTAGAGGAATTATGGCAAGTCATACATTAAGTGCACTATAAGAAAATAGAATAAGATTATTTTAAAAAAAGCGATTTCCAACACACTGAATTGTGATTCTTCCAAAATTCATCTTCCCAGTTGTTTTTGGATAGATTATTCTATCCATAATATTCAAACACTTTATTTTCTGATTGCAAATGTTAATAACTATATACCTTTAGGGTGATTATTTCAATTTGATTTTTGTTGACGCACTTCTCCAAAAATATTCAACTCTTTATAGCCCATCCGTCGCGGAAAATTTTACATTACAAAGACGATTAAGGCAACTGCGATAAGCAACAAACTATTGTAGTGATATAAATCTTTGATCGTCCAATCACTAATGACTGGTTTAATTATTCCACTTCAGCTCTAATTCTGATTACCTGTTCTTCACTTATTGACATTATACCTGGGCGAAACGAAGTTAGCATACCTAAGCGTTTAATTATAAAGTCGGGTCATCAGCATGCAGTAAGCCTTGATAAAAATTGGACTCTGTCAGAGCACTCTTGAGCGTGCGGGGTTAATGGGTTGAAAACGAGAGAGAGAGAGAGAGAGAGAGAGAGAGAGAGAGAGAGAGAGAGAGAGAAATAAAGAAAGAAACACAAGGAGCATCATTTTATTTTGCATGTCTGGAAAGAAATATAATGACAAACGTATTCCAAAGAATGAACATCGATACCAGGCTGCATTTTCGTGGGGCACAGTGGACGGTCCTTCCATTAAACTTTTGGAATGAATGTGCCATTGAAAAAACAAAGGACCAAGTTGTTGGAGGCTGATAAGGATTTGGCTAGACTCAGAGTAACTATGGATTCAACAAACTGCCTATCTAATGATAGCTCAACTGAAGAAGTTTTGGGACACGCAACAGTGCAGTACGTTTACGCAGCTTTCCTGGTTGTTTCCTGTCTTCTTTGCTTCGTTGGGAATACGCTCAATTTTGTGGTGCTTCGAAAGTTGACGGACATTAGTGAACCTAGGAAAGTGGTATTCTACTTCCTATCGATGTCGGATCTGTGTACGGGTATTGGTTGGGTACCCTCGATACCGGCAGTAGTTCTGAAGTCTTGGCCATTCGGTCGTGGATTTTGCGTGTTTTGTATCTACCTGATTCTCACGAATCTTGGTATATCCATCATCCTCATTCTCCTCGTCACTTACGATTGCTTCATCGCCGTCGTTTACCCGTACAAGTACGCGTCCATGATCACCAAGTCCAGGGCCATTGCAGTTTCTCTCTTCGTTACCTTTAGTTACTACGCGGTGATGGCCGTGTTTATAGGTGTAGGAAGCAAGGGGCCTTTCACTGATGTTAAGTTTTATCCGATGGTTGGTTTCTGTTACGTTAACTTTGTTGCACGAGGACCCTTTACTTACAGCATGTACGGTGTTTCATACATCCTGCTTTTGTTCGCAATCATGATGACAATCATGCAGGGAATGGTTGCCAACGTTTCGAGAAAACAAGCTCGTCGCATCGCCGAATCGGAGGGCCGGTTCAGGCACAGCGCCCTCACTGAAGACTTCAAAACGGACGCAATGTCATCGGACAAAACGCAGAAGCGCAAAGGCCCGAAGGGAGATCCGCGGATGCCGGGTAGGCGGCAACCATCGGAGCTGAAAGGAGTGCTCGTCTGCATCGCCGTCTCTGTGGCATTCTTCGTTGCCTGGTTACCTACGGCAGTGTGGCAGATTTACACGGTACATTTTGGGGAATGCGTGAGTTCAGTAGCTTTTAGAATTGTGGTTATTCTTTCCACACCACAATGTTGGATTAATCCTTTCATCTACATGGTGATGAAAAGGAACTATAGGCAAAGGCTTTACAAAATATTGGATCCGATCTTCAAGCGATGTCGGATACAAGTCATGACTGATCCATAACCAACAGACGGCTTGAACATTGCGTGGTTCAATGGCGGAGCAATAGGGGAACATGTGCCTAATCGAATGGCGAAAAATATAAGAAAAAGAATGACACGGAGGAGAAGGAGATGATGCTGTTGAATATCAACAAGAAGAAGAAGATGAGAAAACAAGGAAAAAATGAAGAAGAAGAAGAATGAGAAGAAAAAGAAGAAGAAAAGGAGAAAGAGAAAAACAAGAAAAGAGAATACACAAATAAAAGTTAACGATTTGGAACAGAAAAATGGCTGAATCCTCTTGCACATTCCCCGTCTAATCGGTGACCTTGTTAACTCGTATTTCATACACCGAGTAAGACCGGTGCAACGGTAGCGGATCACCTCCCACAACCCCGCCCTGGTTCCAGTGCCCCCTCAATGCAATATATGAAATGAGAGAGAGAGAGAGAGAAAGAATATATGCGTGTTTGTGTGTGTTGTGTGCGTGTGTGTGTGTACATTACTTGTACATTATGTAAATGTAGTTGTTACTCTTTTTTAAAATCTAATTCCTGTGTACATTAAGTTGTTATTAGTTGTCATCTTCTCCAGGCGTTTTTGGACAGATTATATTCTACCCACAATATTCAAACACTTCATTTTCTGCTTGCAAATGTGAATAACCACCTTTAGGGTTAAAGGGAAAATAATGATATTAAAATCCTTGATAATGTCGAAAATCATTTATACATCACAAGTTTTGTCTCGTCCTAAAGAGATAATTAAGGAGCTCGATATGTTATTTTTTTATTTTCTATGGAAAGGGAGACCTGCAAAGGTTAAAAGGTCAAATGTATTAAATAGTATTCAAGAAGGTGGTTTAGATATGTTAGATGTTCAAACAAAGGTTGCATCGTTAAATATAAATTGGTTTTGTAAATATCTAAGCGACGAATTAAATGCAGGTTGCAAATGTATGTTTGACTACTGGTTTGAGCAAATTGGTGGTAGAAAGGTGATCATGAATTGTAAATATAATACAAAAAACGCAAGTTTTCTAGAGAACAAGATGCCTCATTTCTACTATAATTTAATTAGGAACTTTTTCTTCATCGATCATGTACTTTTGGCAACTATCGTAGAGAAATGATTTGGCTGAATACAAATGTAACGTATAAAAGGAAAATGCTTTTTTTAAAATTTTTATAGGAATTGGATAAATTCTGACATTTTGTTTTTTTTGGATTTAATGGATGGTAAAGGTCTTCTACCAGTTAATGAGTTAAGTGCGAAAATATTATTTAAGGATGGAAGGTGGTATAGTCAATATGCATGTATTAGAAGAGCGATTCAATCACTCGGGAATGTGTTAGTACTTGCAGATATGAATGCAGAACATAGAGAGTATATGAAATTTAGATCCACAGCGTTTGTAAATAATGATATAAAATTGATTGAGGATATGATTTCAGTTAGACAGTTAACAGTTAAAGAATATATCATGAGTTAATTAAAACAAAAATCGAAAAATCTAGAGCGGAGGAATTTTGGCGTCATACTTTGGAAATTGAATATATACCTGTATGGTCAGATGTTTGGTTATTTAAGTTAAAAAGTATAAAAGACAGATACTAATTAACTTCAATTTCAAATTCATGTGTAATATTTTAGCAATACCATATAATTTGTTTAAATGGAAAGTTAATGCCAATGATCAATGTTATTATTGTAATAAAAAAGGTGATTGTATGCACATCCTTTTTTTGTAACGAAGTCAGTATGTTTTGGAATGAAGTTGAAAGGACTATAAAGAAAAATTTCATGTCTACTTTTAATTTCTAACCATGTCGTCTATTGTTTGGTATTGATTTTAATTCAAAGAAGGAAAAAGATGTTGATATTATTTTGAATTATGCACCTTTTACTATTTACAAAACTTTTGTTGGAAAAGAATTTAAAAAGAAAACAACTAAAAGAGGCTTCTTCATATTTTTATTTACCTAAATAAGTTATCGTTTACAAATAGAAGAAAATATTAGAAAACCATGCAAATCCCTCCAGAAATGGAGGCAAATGCTAAAAATGTGAATATGTTTATATTATTATGAAGAAAAAATAAAGAAGACCTGAAATGGTTATTTTACAAAAAAACTTCTTTTTAGGGTGCTTATTTCAATTTGATTATAGTTGACACACTACTCCAAAAATATTCAACTGTCTCTAGCCCATCCGTCGTGGAAAATGTTATATTACATATATTATTCTGTTGTGTGTTTCTAAGCAAATGCGACAAGCATTAAATTATTATAGTGATATTAATCTTTAATCGTCCTCTCTCTAATGATTGTTTTATTCATTCTACTGCAGCCCTAATTCTGATTACCAGTCCTGTTCTTCACTAATTGACATTAGGGACTTTTAGATTCGCACGAAGACAATAGGTCTATGCTACGATCGACGTCCTGTTAATGCACTGCCGTGAATGGACGTCACACGTATCAGTCCACGCAAATCTAAAAGTCCCTATTAACTGGGCGAAACGAGGTTAGCATACCTATAAGCGTTTAATTATAAAGTCGGGTCATCAGACTCTGTCAAAGCACTCGTAAGCGGGGTTGAAAGAGAGAGCGAGAGAGAGAGAGAGAGAGAGAGAGAGATAGAGAAGAAAAAAGTAGCTTAATTTGCATGTCTGGAAAGGGAAACATATTCCAACGAATGAACATCGAAGCCAGGCTGCAATTTCGTGTGGCACAGTGGACGGTCCTTCCATTAAACTTTTGGAATGCATGCGCCATTGGAAAAACAAAGGATCAACTTGTTGGCGGCTGATAAAGATTTGGCTACATTCAGCGGAAATATGGATTCAATAAACTGCCGAGCTAATGGTAGCTCAACTGAAGAAGTTTTGGGACACGCAACAGTGCAGTACGTTTACACAGCTTTCCTGGTTGTTTCCTGTCTTCTTTGCTTCGTTGGGAATACGCTCAATTTTGTGGTGCTTCGAAAGTTGACGGACATCAGTGAACCTAGGAAAGTGGTATTTTACTTCCTATCGATGTCGGATCTGTGTACGGGTATTGGTTGGGTACCCTCGATACCGGCAGTAGTTCTGAAGTCTTGGCCATTCGGTCGTGGAATTTGCGTGTTTTGTATCTACCTGATTCTCACGAATCTTGGTATATCCATCATCCTCATTCTCCTCGTCACTTACGATTGCTTCATCGCCGTCGTTCAGCCATTCAAGTACGCGTCCATGATCACCAAGTCCAGGGCCACTGCCGTTTCTCTCTTCGTTACCGTTAGTTACTACGCGCTGATGGCCGTGTTTATAGGTATAGGAAGCAAGGGGCCTTTCTCAGATGTTCAGTTTTATCCGATGGTCGGTTTCTGTTACGCTAACTTTGTTGCACGAGGACCCTTAACTTACAGCATTTACGTGTTTTCATACATCCTGATTTTGTTCGCAATCATGATGACAATCATGCAAGGAATGGTTGCCAACGTTTCGAGAAAACAAGCTCGTCGAATCGCCGAATCGGAGGGCCGGTTCAGGGACAGCGCCCTCAATAAAGACTTGAAAACGGACGCAACGTCATCGGACAAAACGCAGAAGCGAAAAGGCGCGAAAGGTGATCCGCGGATGCCGGGTAGGCGGCAACCATCGGAGCTGAAAGGAGTGCTCGTCTGCATCGCAGTCTCTGCGGCATTCTTCGTTGCCTGGTTACCTACGGCAGTGTGGCAGATTTACACGGTACATTTTGGGGGATGCGTGAGTTCAGTAGCTTTTAGAATTGTGGTAATTCTGTCCACGTCACAATGTTGGATTAATCCTTTCATCTACATGGTGATGAAAAGGAACTATAGGCAAAGGCTTTACAAAATATTGGATCCGATCTTCAAGCGATGTCGGATACATGACTGATCCATAACCAACAGACGGCTTGAATATTGCGGGGTTCAATGGCGGAGCAATGAGGAACGTGTGCCTGATCGAATGTCGAAAACATATTGCTCCGGTTGTCTCATTTTCGCTCGCTGGACGTATATAGCAGATGACAATCGGCGGATAAGACGACACTTGGTAGTGAATTTGTATGTGAGATTGCTTTGCTAAAAATAAAATACAAGAACATTTTCCATATCTTTAAACTATCATTGATATCTGATAATTAAACGGTTATTAAAATAATCCTACCAAACTACATAATACAATGAAATACTTGACTTAAAGTAGGGGAGTTTGATGTGATGCACAATTTCACCCCTCTGTTAAATAATCGAATAGTCCATGGTGATCATGAATATTCATGTTTTTGCTTACCTCGGCAAAATGTTTGATTTTACTAAATGGAAAAATTACGGTGGGGGATTTGATGAAATGGACATAATGAACCAAGCAGAAGTGATCTATGATAATTCATGCTTCTTATCCTTTGTGTGCTTGACCTATAATCTTAAATTCGCTTGGCAAACTGAGTCCAAAGTTCGACTTGTTTCACATGTGTATTAAAGGCAATGGCGAGCTTGCAACCTATTTTGATCAAATTACGGTGGGTGAGGTTTCAAAAGTCAATAGGACATGAGGGTTCCAATGAAAGAGCTAGTGATAACGTACGTCGGGGTGGATGTGCTTTTCGTTTAAACAAAAAAAAAAGATTTTTTTAAAACGATTTTTTTTTGGGGGTAAAATTCCATAGGCTAACATGTAGGCTGCTGACTCTGACGATAGGGGGCGTTGTGAAATGAGACTAAACGGAGACGGAGGAGGAGATGGAGAAGGAGGGCATGGTGGGGATAATGATAATGCTGTTGAATATCAACAACAAGAAGAAGACGAAGAAGATGAGAAAACAAGGAAAAATAAAGAAGAAGAAGAAGGAGAAGAAAAAGAAGAAGAAAAGGGGAAAGAGAAAAACAAGAAATATTACACAGATAAAATTCAATGAATTGAGAGGGAAAACCGGCTGGATCCCCATTCACATTCCCCGTCTAATCGGTGGCCTTGTTAACTCGTATTTCATACACCGAGTAAGACCGGTGCAACGGTAGCGCATCACCTCCCACAACCCCGCACTGGTTCCAGTGCCCCATCAATGCTAGGACTCTTGTTACGCCCTTTTTTTCAGTGGTATGC